GGCTGGTCTTGAACTCACTTTGTAGCCCAGGTTAGTCTCAAACTTGCAATGATCCTTCTGCCTCAGCCTCCCAAGTGCTGGGATTACAGGCATGCGCCACCATGCCCAGCAGTTTCTCTTGTATGAGAAATCCAAAATATGAAGAATAAAATAAAAGATAGAGAATAGGAGACTGGTAGACCAAGAAATGGAGGGAGAAGAAAGGAAGAGGATGAGAAAATAATTAGCATGTATTATGTATATGTAACAACTTCCTATGAGGAATGTAATCATTATGTACTGCAGGTATGTACTAATAAAAAATAAATAAAAAACTGAAATAAAACCCCAAAATAACCAGACACAATGGCAGGTGCCTGTAGTCTCAAAATTATGTAGACTGAGGCAAGAGGATTCTTTAAGCCCATATGTTCAAGGCCAGCCTGGACAACATAGTGAGACCCTAGCTCAACATAAAAACATAAACAACAACCAAAAAAACCTACAAAAAAATGGGAGCTTTGGTGCACATACTCAGAGCCTATGGGAAACAAATATCGGGTCCTAGGTTGAATCTCCAGCACCAAAACAAAACAAATTAAAAATAATAATATTAATAACAGCTCCTTCCATGATAGGATACCTCCTTATTCTAGTTAGGTTTACCATCTCTACCCTCACTAAAGTTGTATTAAAAAACTGGCGGGAGTGGGGGGGACCAGGGAGATGGCTCAGTAGAATAAGTGCTTCCCTGGCAAGCACAAGGGCCTGAGTTCAATCCCCCGGTTCTGCCAAACAAACCAAAAAAACAAAACAAAACTGGCCGGGGGGGGGGCGCATAGCGGTGGACACCTGTAATCTCAGCACTCCAGAAGCTGAGGCAGGAGGATTGCCACAAGTTCAAGGTCAGCCTGGGATACACAGTGAATTCAATGCCAGCCTGAGCTACATAGCAAGACTCTCTCAAAAAACCAAACCAAACAAACACACGAAACCTGTTTTTGGCCTTTTTTTTTTTTTTTTTTTTTTCACTATTACTTGTTAAAAATTTTTCTCACTAATGGTTTTAGTCAAGAATGAGAGCACTGGGCTGGTGAGATGGCTCAGTGGTCTAAAGCACCTACCTAGAACAAGCTAAGCTAAGCAAAGCACAGGGACCGTGGTTCAATCCCCCAGCACCATATGCCAGCCAGCCTCGCCCCATGGTGGGCTGAGCTGGCCACACACACACACACATTAAAAAAAAAATTTAAAAAAAAGAATGAGAGCACAGACAGGCATGGTGGCACACACCAATGCCAGCACTCAAGAGGCTGACGCAGGAAGATCACCATGAGTTTAAGACCAGTCTGGGCTACATAGTGAGATCCTGTCTCAAAAAGGGGGGAGGGGGGCAGGGAGATGGCTCAGTGGAATAACTGCTTCCCTGGCATGCACAAGGCCCTAAATTCAGTCCCTGGTTCCGCCAAAACAAAACAAAACAAAAAAAAAAAAAAATAGCATAGTAATTTAGAAAACCTAGATTTGAGGGCAGGGGAGATAGCTCAGTAGCTAGCATGCCTCCCTGGCTAGCACAAGCTCCTGAGTTCAGTCTCTAGTACTGAAAAAACAAACAAACAAACACTAGATTTGTTAAGCTCTTTTTAACTTTTTGTTTTTGAGACAGAGTCTCACTATGTAGTTCAGGCTGGCCATGACCTCCTGGTGACCCTCCTGCCTCGGCCTCCCAAGTGCTGGCATTGCAGGCATACACCACTACAGTTGGCATTTGTTACACTATTATGACGACAAACCAATTACCGTCCAGAGTACTTTGAGGACATGTCCCAGTTCACTTGTTCTATTAAAAAGAAACTAAGAGGAAGAAATTAAAGGCCATAACCTAAAAGGCTGTAAGAAGGCAGACAAAAAATAGAGCAGAAAGAGCAGAAGCTATCCAGAAGCACGTGTCAGTGGTGTGATCTACAGCTGGCATATTTCCCAAGAAACTACTTATAGAGGCCTAGATTTGAGGGCGGCAGGGGAGATAGCTCAGTGACTAGCATGCCTCCCTGGTTAGCACAAGGTTCTGAGTTCAATCCCTGACACTGAAAAAACAAAAAACAAACAAGAATACTGCCCTGAAATCTAGGTTTTCTAAATTATTGTGGTTTTTTTGAGACAAGATATCCCTATGTAGGCCAGGCTGGTAATCCTCCTGCCTCAGCCTCTTGAGTGCTGGCATTGGTGTGTGCCATCATGCTTGAATTAATCTGAGCCCCAAATTAGTAAAATGCTCTTGATCCTGCAGAGGCCAACAGAAACTGATTCTTCTGAGACCTCTACCTTGTCTTCTAGTGGTAAGGGCATCTGTGGGTCCCAAAGAGGCATCTTAACTTTAGCTTCCCCGCATTACACGCAGCTCCTCCGTATTTCCACCACAGCAGCCTGCTAGTGTATAGATGATGCGTACAGCATAGGTGGGAGTCATAGGCCTACTCATATGGTATCTAGACACAGAAAGCTTTAGGACAGTAAGAAAATACCCCTTGGTTAAGCCAATTCACCTTTGTTAATAAAGGTCATAGTTCTTCTTTTTCTTTTTTTTTTTTTTGGCGGAATCAGGAATTGAACTCAGGCCCTTGTG